GGAGTCTGGTCTGCAACTTGGGCTCCTAAGCTGCCAGAGCACCGACTTAACACTTCCCGCGGCCGCTCTTGCCCAACTTGCTGTTCCCGTGGTGACCCCGGAGCCCTCTTCACACTTTCTCTCCCTGCCCAGTCGCCCACCGGGTTTAGACCGTGGGTTCCGCCTCGGCTAGGGGACCCCAGAACTTCGTCAGTGACTCCCCACCCCGGCCTCCCACGACGTTCAGCCCCCCCCCTCACCCCGCCCCCGAGTCCAAGTGACACACGGTATCCCTTTTTGACTGGAGTGACTTCCCAGCTTCGCGTCCGAACCCGTAGATGCCATTACATCTGTTTGCTTTGGAAACTTTGCAAACAGTTTGCCATTTTCACAATTTCTAGCCATCTTGCTTTTATTAGAGCGTTGTGTGTGTGTGAGCGTGGAAGGGGCTCAGGGAGGAGGTGCTATGGTTTTGCCCGGAGTGTGTGTGTGTGTTGGACCGTTTGGCTGGTCGTTGCAGAATGTTGTGAGCCCCTTGCTCCATGTTTTATCGAGAGGAAAAGTCCGGGTCAGCTCTGCGCAGGGATGACACTTGTATTGGTTGGCCCAGGAACTTCCAACGTCTAAGACTTTGCGAAGTACCAACTGTTGCAAATACATGTAGTTCTGAATTGGATAATAGTTTAGCGTCGTTGGTGACTTCGAGTTTGGGTGACTTTTCTCTTTTCATTTCTCCCTGTGCTGGGAGAAATATTCAAGGGTGCATGATAGTCAGGTTAATGAATTGAGTGAGTGGGCGGAGCACAACTAGTTGGCGAGTGCAAACTGCCAGTCATGTCTCAGCAGTTTCATTTTTGGCACCTTATGCTTTGCACCTTTAAGTCGGATTGAAGAGTTAGTGAATTCTCTCGGGGGGAAGTTTGTTTTTTTTTACAGCGGGATATTGATAGCTAAAATGTCTTCCCCCTCTGTAATTTATGTTGGTTTTCTTGTTTAATCAGCATTTCTCTGCAAGGAAAAAGACATAAGCGGGTTTTGAATTTCTGTGCTCTCCAACTCAGTCTATTTCTGGTACTTTTAGGATCAAGTTCTTTGAAGATCGTCTAGCAAAAATCCGACTGTTCTTTGTGGGCAGTCCTTGGGCCTTTCCTACAGTGGATGTGCGCAGGATTGGTTAGAATTTTGCCAGGAACTATTCAGATGACCTTTTTTTAGCACCATGACTTTTCTCAAACACGGAATGATGAGTCTTTAAGAATCGATTTTTAGTTAAAAGTTTGACACCAAGGAACAAGTGGGGCCAGTTAGAAAAGAATTTAGGACAGCAAAGGAATGTTTACTCAGTGTGCAGTATTAGAGTATATGTTTATCTCTAAAGTTTTTTGTTTTTGTTTTTTCTGTTTAGGGCGCCTTATACTTATTGGCTTGCTATTCAATGTTGTGTCTGTGTTAATTCAAAAACTGTGTTTCAAATTTTGAGTGGTTGAGATATTATTTTAATGCTCCTTTTTGCCCCCTTTGGCCTTAAGCCACTTTCAATATCTTAAGCATATCCTTGTATTGAAATAGTGTAAACTTTTAATTGAATAAATTTGACTTTGTACAATAATAAAAGTCATGCTTTCTTTTCTTCAGGCTGACTTGACAGGAATTAAATGGAAAAGATATGTATGGCAAGGCCCAACTTCTGCTCCTATTCTGTTTCCGGTGACAGAGGAAGACCCCATTTTGAGCAGTTTTAGTCGATGTCTTAAGGCAGATGTACTTGGTGTTTGGCGGCGAGATCAAAGACCTGGAAGAAGAGAATTGTGGATATTTTGGTGGGGTGAAGACCCTAATTTTGCTGACCTTATTCACCATGATTTATCAGGTGAAAGCAACTTTATCATTTCTAACAAATTATGCAGTAAGATTGTATATTTGTCCCAAAATAGCATCTGTATTACACATTAGGATTCTTTTCTTGGTGGAAAATTTAGCTGTGTTTTATTTCACCACTGTTTTACTTAAATTTTTACATAAGTTATTCCTGTGTGTTATGGCAGACTTCCTTCTGAATTTCTTGCAGGCAGTTAGGTCTAGGAAAATAAGTATTATTAACATAAGAAAACTGGAATTTGAAGGCACAAATTTATCAGCAAATCGCATAATAATCTTTGACACCAGTGTCATTTACCTTTTGAGTGAATTCTGCCACCGCTCTCCTTTACAGAATATCAGGAATATCTTGACGGGTTGTAAACTTCTCATGTTATTGATAACATAGTTATTATTTTATTAACACATGAAGACATGTTCATTTCATTTGTGGAAAATGATTCTTTTGAGATATACTATTCCTTCAAAAATTACCATTGCTAAGTGTCATTTTGTTTACTTTTTATACACTGTGGGATCATACCTTAAAAGGTTATGTGGAAATAATTTTATTGTAGACAAATCAGTATGATTACTTTATTCTTGTGACTTTTAGGACCAAATGTTACTTTAGAAAGTGAAACTGTGGTTCTTTCTGTAACTTTTGAAACTTGTATTTTAGATTTTTAAGAGTTAGCGCTATGTGAATTTTTGGTGATAGAAATGTAAATAATGGTAGTGTGCGTCCAGTTCTTAAAGATTTCATCAGCAAGATCGTTTGGTAATGTTTTTGACAGGTGAACTTAAGATTTCTAAGTAGCTTTTACAAAGGTGGTTCTATGACTGTCCATTAGTCTTATAAGACCTATTTTATTTTTAAATGAAGTGTAATCCTGGTGCCTTTATCTCAATTATTTAGCAAGATCCACCTTTGTGCAGGAATATATATGTATATATATTGTGGTTGTCTTGATAGTTGCTTTTTTACCTTCTAATGAATTATACCCTAATGTAAATCCTAATTTCTTGAGATTGGCTGTAATTCTGTTGTGATAGAGCTTCCCAGCTTTCCTAATATGATCCCTGTTAAATAGTTCTAAATATGTAAAATAGCATATTATGGGCTTCAAAAAGTTTGTGGGGGAAATCATCAATTTCTTTTTTCCATACACTTTTTGAAGCCAATGTATATGAGAAGGATGTTTCTATGTATGTTCAGGATATAAACATTTTTTGTGGCATCAGTAAAATGATGCCTTCTAATGATGATGACAAAAGCTATGCCTGCCAGCTTCCTTTTTCATTCAGTGTCTTTGATGTGCTTGAATTATTTTAATCTTTTGAGATTGCTACCTTAGTAAAAGAATTTGAAAACAGTTTAAATGTTGATAAATTGTCTATAATCCTAACTTTTAAGATTTTAATCTTTTTATATAAATTTGGCAGAGCATCTAAACAAGACCATCTTTTCAGATTCCAGAAGATACTTTTTGTGGAATCATAGGACAGTTTTAATTATATATGTAATACACCTGCATGTAATTTAGTTTACCGTAGTAGGACTAATGTGTTCATAGTTAAAAACCTAATAAAGTTAGGTGTGAGTGATTTTGTAGAATATTAGAATGTTAAGACTTGGTTTATGTTTCTTTCTAGTTTCCATATTATCAATCAGATACGTTTTCTCTATTAAAACAATTTCCGTTTTAAGAAATTTCTCTAGTTCAACTTTAGTTCTAGTTTTTTTTTAGAATTGATAGCGTCTGTACTTCAAAATAAATGCCAATCTTGAATGTGAGTGAAAGTAATTTTGGAAGATTAGATTTTTTAATTTGTCAGACTTTGCTGAATACTTGAATGGTAAATAACTTTTGAAAATTTATCAGAGTGTAGACAATTCAAATAGTAAACTGAAAAGTAGTAGTAGTATGTAATCAGATTTACTGTTGTAAAGACTGATCTGTAGTTTTATGTAGTCACTGGTATTTATAGAATGTGTTCGATTTTTTTTTTTAACCTGTCATTTACTTTAGAATGTTGTTACTTAAGTCAGGCATATCTTAAAGAATAATAAGGTCTTTTCAGATGGAGTATATTTGTCTCGCTCTTTTCTTTACTCCAGGGATACCGTCTGCCTCCCTTTTGGGGTAATTAGTCTGCCTCTGTCGCTCTAGCTAACCCCTTTTTCATTTCTTCCCATCTGTGGCACTCTATTCCCTTCTTTGAAGCTCCCCTGAGAAGAGAGCAGCTGGACAGTGGGGGTGGCATCAGCTGTAGGAGGGAACCCTGAGTTCCAAGTAGAGGTGTAGCACTGAGGAACCGGTAACCGGAAGGACCCAGGTGGTAACTCAAAAGCTGTGTTAATTTAGCTTGCGCCTGCTCTTCACAAGCAGTGCCCTTCTGTTTGGTTCAGCACCTACCACATCTTGTTACTCAAATGTTTGTGAGTATGGTGACAATATTGCCCTTCTTGGTGGTGGTGGAGAGAGGGAAAGCATTCTTGTATGTTTGTAAAGAGAATTCTCAGTCTTTTTTATTAACTGACACATTTCAGTTACAAAAGTACAGAATTGCCTTTGTTTAGCCCCTTTATCTCACTTGACGCATATGTAGTATATTTTCAAGGAGTCCTGGTGGCACAATGAGTTAAACATTGGGCTTCTAACTGGAAGGCAGGCAGTTTGAACCCACCAGACACTCTGTGGGAGAAAGATGAGACTGTTGTATTTTTAAAGATTTACAGCCCCAGAGATCCTGTGTAGTAACTCCACTCTGTTCTAAAGGGTTTCTGTGAATAGAAACCAACTTGATGGCATGCGTTTTATAATGTTTTTAAAAAACAAACTTTTTAGATTTGATGTTAAAGTTGTAAAGGTGATTTAAAGAATTATGGAGCCCTTAGAACACTGATTAAAGTGCTTGGCTGCTCACCTAAAGCCTAGTTGTTTGAACCCGCAAACTTCTTTGTGGGAGTCTGCTTCCGTAAAGATTCAAATAGAAAAGCCAAACTCATTGCCATCAAATCAGTTCTGACAAATCGTGTAGTGAGCCTATAGGACAGAGTAGAACTGCCCCTTTTAGTTGCAGAGGCTTTCTCCCAGGGAGCAGCTAGTGGGTTTGAACTGCTTCTCTTGTGATTAGACAGCTCAACATGTAACCCTGACCCCTTGTACCATCCGAGATCTGGCTTTGGAAACCATACGCCACTTTAATGGCTTACCCTGAGTTTGAATTAACTAAACGGTAATGGATTTTTGTATACCCATCATCCAGTTTCCTTTATTGTTTGGTTCATTTGTTATAGCTAATCAACCAATATGAATACATTACTAATCAAAGTCCATACATCTGTTTTTATAAAAAATTGTTTTCTGTTTTAGGATTGCATTCAGGTTATTATATTTTGTTGTCATATCTTGCAGATACTTGTAGACCATGACAGATTTTCAGGCTTTCCTTGTTCTGGGGCCCTTGATAGTTTTGAAGAGTGATCAGGTTCTATAATGGTTTTAAAATTTTAGTCTCTTTCATACTTTTTTGGATGATGAATGTAAACTCATTTTAATGCTAATTGGTAAAGATCCACGATAGCAAACCAAACCTGATTTACTATATACTAAAATCTTCATTTTTTTTTCTAGCAGTAGTAAATAGTGCAAAGGCTAGATGGTTTTTTCAAACATAGTATTTGCCTTAACGACTTTAACTTAACCAAAATATTCCAGAAAGAGATTCTTCTTTTTTTTTTAAATTCTTTTCAAAGCCAAACATGTATGTTTATTTTTTACTTTACTCCCTTAGAGAATGAATAATTAAATTGATATTGATATTTTTTGATAGAAAAGAAATTTGTGAACAAAACTCCTTCCTCATTATGGTAACTTTCCTTTTTAAGAAATTTAAAATTTGGACATCATAACATAATGAATTTAGTCCTGCAGTCAGTGACCAAATTCCAAAAACCCACTGTCATCTACTAGAGTCCAACTCATAGTTACACCCTATGCAGAGTTTCTGAGGCTATGACTCTTTATGATAGTCTCCTATTTCTTCCATGGAGCACCTGGTGGGTTTAAACTGCTAACCTTGTGGTTAGAAAGAAGTCCAGCCTACCTGGTAGTGCCCTTAGGGCTTGACAAAGTATAAAATTCATAATGGGAAAATCTTAGCTCAGTCTCAGCTCAAAAGTCTCTACAGATTATAGTGGTTCTTTTAAGTGTAGTATTAGTTTGCATCAAAGCAAAATTGTTTTATTGTCACTAGTCCGTCCTTGAAGGACAAACTTTTTGTGTGAGATTTTACTGTGTTCTAATTTTTGAATTTTGATGCTGTTATCATTGGCTTTTACTCTTTTCCTTAAGAAAACAAAAAACCACTACACTATTCCCCAAATTTGCCACGTTAAGAAAATCATAATACATTAGAAGATGACGCGACTGAGAAAACTGATACCTTGACAACTAAAAACTAGCAGCAGCAACAATGAAAACCCAGACTCAGGGTTAAAAATATATTTTTTCCTTTTTCCTCATGCCTGTATACTAGATTTTGCCTACTACCGCCCACTGCCGTTGAATTGATTCCAATGTATAACAACCATATAATGATAGAATAAAACTATAAAGTTTCTAAGACTAAATTTTTTTATTTTTAAAATTTTTTATTTATTTTTTAAATCATTTTATTAGGGGCTCATACAACTCTTATCACAATCCATACAAACATCAGTCGTGTAAAGCACATTCGTATATTCATTGCCCTCATCATTCCTGAGACTAAATTTTAATGGGAACACACAGCCTCATCTTACTCCTGTAGAGCAGCTAGTGAGTTTTGCTTGACACTTAGTATATCTAAAGGTTAATTTATACTAGATTTTAGCAGTGTCCAAATACTTCTGTTACTATACTGAATATTAAACTAAGTGGACCATTATTTAGTATTAGAACTTAATTTCAATTGCTTACTTTGAAGGATTTTAACTATAGTGGATTTTAATTTTAAATGACAGTTTTCAACAGGATTGGCAAATAAATAGCAGCTAAGTTTAGGAGACTAATGCCAGCAAAACTAAAAGTGTAGTACCATGGAGGCCAAAGAGTCATTCCCAGGGTGATATAAACTGTCAACTTGCTTGACTGCTAGCCATAAGGTTAACGGTTAATCTATCCAGAGGTGCCTTGGATTAAAGGCCTGCCAATCTACTTCCAAAAAATGAGCCCTTGATAGAACACAGTTCTACTCTGATACACTTGAGAGATACCTATGAATTGGAATAGATTCAAAAGGCAGCTGGTTTTGTTTGTTTTTTCAAATGTTAGCCTGAAGAGATTAATTCATTCATATCTTCTGTTTTTGTAATTGTGGCCAGCTTTCTAAGTAACAAATTTCATTATTTGCCTTAGTCTTCCACTTATTGTTCTTCTTAAGTTAGAAAGTATGTGGAGTTTTAAAATCTTCAAATTAAAGATTAGGAGCCACATACTGAGCTATAAAGATTTTCAGATTTTTGCCATAGATTACTAATGCTGTCAATTTAAGGCTCTCAGTAGTATTTGTTTAGTGAGTAGAAAACTTTTGTTCCAAATAAGTGCCAATCTACACATAGACAGTTAAATGTTTTTCATTATTCTTGGAGGAAATACAGCCTTTGCTACCAGGTTAATTTTTGAGGCATTAGGTAGTCATTAGTTTATTAAATAGGAAAAAATTCCTTCTTTATCAGAATCATTTTGGACATACTTAAAGATGTCAATTTTGAGAAAAATGTTGACTAGTGTGTTGGTTTTTTTTCTGATGTTTTCCATTGATAATGATTTTGATGACCTATAACACTTTGGCGTCATTTTGTGATCTACGTGCTTAAAAAATTACTTTGTGATAACTTCAAATTCAGCTTTTAAGCTTTCATATTCAAATAAATAACCTTTTAAAAACTTTCAAGTATCAATGATTGACTACACTATGCTAATAGTAACTGAAATACATATACCAGGCTATGCTTGATTAAATTCAGAAGAGCTAGATAAAGATTTGCAATGTGTTCTTTCCCCTTCAATTACAATGCTGGTGTTGAGATTCAAGGATTTATTTTATTTTATTTTTTAGAATTAACATTTTTTATTATGTTATCTAGCATATTGATGTTTTCCTGACTTTATTCATTTATTTTTCTAATGAGCATGACTTTCTCAGTGAAGAAAGCAGTATGTTAATTTACATTCTGATAGAAATATTTTTAATTCAAATATTGTGCTTTCAGTGAAAATTTACACTGCAAATTAGGTTTCCATTTGACAATTTCTGCACAAATTGTTCAGTGGCATTAATTGCATTTTTCAACAGTTTGTCAACATTCCCTTAAGTGCAGTTTGGTTGTTTCTGTCCCTGCGTTCTTCTCATCGCTGCTTTAGTGTAATTGTTGACGCTGGTCTTAACATAGATGCTTTTTTAATGGAGCACTACACTTAGAGGTACTATCTTTTCTTTTGTGTCCCAATCTTCTATTGTGCTAAAAGGTGACCTCAGGGTAGTTTCAGTTCAAGGTTTAGAGAATGTCTGAGGGCACTTAAGTCTGGACTTTCTAAGAATTTGAGTTCTGCCTCCTTTGCCTCTCATTTTCGTCAGCATCCATTTGACAATATCTAGTTTTTCTGGTCTCAGGGTAGATGAGATGGCTTGTGTGGGCTGTTAGTCCTGTAAACTAATTTCTGTTTGAATCTTTGGTTGAGGACTTGTTTAACTAGGTTAGAGGTGCATATCACTAGGTCTTGGGTGGACTGGATGTGCCAACTCACTTTCTCTGAATTCAACATATAGAGAAATAATTTTTTCCTATTACCATATATACTCGTGTATAAGCCGAGTTTTTCAGCACATTTTTAATGCAGTTTTTGTGGTAAAATTGGTGCCTTGGCTGATATTCGGGTCGGCTTATACAGTACTATGTTTCTAGAGTCCCTGCATACAGCCCCCCCTCCTTGAAAAACAATGAGGACTTCAGATATTTCATTAAACGGACTAGGATTTATCCTTAGTGTATAGCAATTGTATATATTTGATGTTATGATACCCGTGTCTTGGATCTTTGACACTTTCAAGTGTAGGATCAATTATAAAATTAGAACAATAAAGACTGTTAAAGGTTACTTGTGAAACAAATGTTAGAACCATTGTGTTTTTCAGAAGGTAGGATTCCCCCCCCCCATACCTTTGTATTGGGAATTAATACAGATATCACATCATTCTGTAGTTCAATCACATCAAGCACTATTGTACAACACTGTCAGTTTCAAACATTCTTTTCAAGAGGTAAGATTTTTGTGGTAAAAAGGAATACAAATAAAGTATATTTAGATTATAAAGAGGTGACAAATTGAATTATTCCTAATAAAATTTTGTTGGAATCAAGAACATGAATATTTTCTGTAATCATAAGTCTACATAATTTGAGGACAAAACTCTTAATGAAGCGTTTTAATTTTGAAATGGCAGGACCTATAGGACTCAGTTAACCTGAAAGTAGATTCATTTCTCTCTCACAGCAAAATAATATGCTTGTGATCTAGACCTTTAAATAATTACCTTTGAGTCACTATGTGCAATTTCTCCTTTATCCAGCCTAATATTTGAAAAATAGATAAAATAAGGAATTTATTAATACAGTGAATCCTGTAGACATTTTGATTTTTTTGTAGAAGTGGTTAAGAGTATATATATAAAAGGATGTGATGAACTTTTCCTATTAGATATTAGATTGATGCTTGATTCCTATTTGATATGCTTGATTTGTAAAATTATTTTATTCTAATTCTAAAGTTTTATTAAACTTTTCATAGAAATAATTAGTTGATTTGAAAAACATAGCTATAATATAGGAAATACTTTTAAAGAACAATATAAAATCAACATTAACCTTTGTAATAGCACAACGTTTATAGTGCAATTAAAGTCCATTGTTATGCTTTTCCTTTTTTTTTGGATCATTTTATTAGAGGCTCATACAACTCTTATCACAATCCATACCTTGTTATGCTTTTTTCATTTGGTGTTTATTCTGTCCTTTTGTCATATAAATTCTGAACATGAAACTACATACTCTTAATACATATCTCTGCAGTTATTCAAAACCATTTTCTGTGGGTATAGTGTATAAATTTTAGTGTTGAATTGAAAAAGATTTTATTTTTTACTTAAAATAGTGAAAGCTGACCTATATTCATAAAAATGTTCATGAAAGTATATAGTAAAAAGATTCTTAATTGTAATTGAAATAATCAAGCAATTTAAATGTGAAGATAAAAGTAAAACTGTAGAAATCCCTTTATTTGTAATTGGATTTATTGGATACTCTGTTGGAGTCCTGGTGGTGTAGTGGTTATACATTGGGCTGCTAACCAAAGTCAGCTGTTTGAAACCGCCAGCTACTCAGAGAGAGGGGTGGGGTGGGGCTTTCTACTCTTGTAAAGAGTGACAATATTGGGTCTTAGAGCCTTTTAGGGTCTCTCTGTAGCCATCCACTTGATGACAGTGAGTTTTTTGTTTTGAATACTTTGTTATAAATGTGAAATAATAAAAAAAATTTTGCGTTTTTTTGCATGTTAACTTGGAGTAAATAGGTTTGATTGCAAAATTGATTGCAAAAATTATGCTGCAGCATAATTAGTGAAGATAGCACTTTTATTATATAATGATAAAGCTATTTAAAATTTAAGTCTTTAAATTATTAAATTTCTCTCCGAAGTAGAGAATCCTATATTGATTAGTAATTGTTAGAATCATTTGGTTGAAATGAGACCTCAGATGGCTGGTAATGAACTGCTTGTTAGCCTCTGTGCTGATCATTTACTTTTTATTCATCACTTCATTTTGTAATTGAGTCGTGGATTAAAATGCAGATGGAAAGAAAAGTTTTCATTATTACCAGGCTAGTTTTTTTACAGGTTAAGTGGAGGAAGTGTGAGCTAGCTTAGAAGTTGACATTATTTAGGTTTTGTGTGTATGTCATTTCTCAGGTTATACAAATGTTATTTTCATTAAAAAAACCAAATCAGTCTGTCAGTGCCCTTTTTTTTGTGATGGAAAATTAATTTTTGGGTAATTTAATAGCATATGTGGCACTTAAGCTTTTTATTCCTTTGGAGTATCTTTGAAATTGCATTTAATATATAGAAATATGTTGAAGTGATTTTAGTCAAATAAGGTGAAAAAAGGGCTTAGGAATATAGAATCTAAATTAGCTTTTTTTTTTTTTTTTACCTGGCTCTGAATATATATACAGTAGTGCCACTACTTGACTTTTAGTTTCTTTCTCTTACAGAAGAGGAAGATGGAGTGTGGGAGAATGGACTTTCTTACGAGTGCCGTACTCTGCTTTTCAAAGCAGTTCACAATCTATTGGAGCGGTGTTTAATGAACCGGAACTTTGTACGTATTGGCAAGTGGTTTGTAAAACCTTATGAAAAAGATGAAAAACCTATAAATAAAAGGTAAGCTCTTATTTAAATTCCCTTGATATTTCTGTAGGTTTTTGTTTTTGCTTTTTTGGGCTTTACAGAATATATGGAATAAAACAAGCTAATATCTTGCAGGCATATTCTGGAGGTAACTATGAGCATTCAGGTTTTCTTTGACCATCTTTTATCTCCCTTTATAAATTTTAAGAGACCCCTCTAACTCCAATTGAAAATTGATGCAATTGGTGTGTTTTTTTAATAAAATGGCCTAAATTTTGCTTTGGGAAACTAGGGAAAAAACATGAAATGAAAGTAGGGTCTTCTGTTTTGAGAAACATGTTTGTAAGTATCTCTATAGTACTCTGATGTTAAAATTGAGTAACGTATCTGTTACAGTTAGTGAACTGTTGTCACATTTTGGATATAGTTACTCTTTTTGTTACTTAACCACTTGGTTTGTCTTAAATGTGTGTTTATCTTTATAAGACTGATGAATTGTTGAAGGGTTTATAATTTTCATGAACTTTGAATTTGCTCAATTTATAACTAATTAGGGGAGCTACAGATGGAACTCAAGAGTTTAAGATAGTATTTTGTTTTCCTGCTAAATAAAAATTTCAAGTTATTACGCTACTCAGTGATTTAAATAACATAAGGCATCTTATGTTGGGTGATTCAGAACCAAGCGGTGCTTGAATTAGTGAGACTTGAAGAGAGAGAATAACACAAACAAGGATGATGGAATGTGGAAGGAGAGAGCATTGATGGTGTTTGTTTTTCCTGAAAAATATGAGAGGCTATGAAGTAAACATTTAGTGTCATATTTATAATCATTGTTGAGGTGCCATCTGTTAGGTCATTCTTTTTTTGTTCTTTTTCTCCAATATGTGGGATTTTTCCCAAACTTTTTGGTAAACTGAGGAAGTAAGAAAGGAGAAGTGGAGGTTTGCTCATTTGTTCCCTTTGAAAGCTAAACATTTGTTGTAACAAAATAATTGTATAAGTTAGAAATGCAAATAAACAGAAAACCTAACTTGCTTTAACTGATTTTTCATAGTAGCAAGGAATCTTAAGGTTGGTATTTCAGGACTTAATATAGCTGCTCAAAAATGTGACCAACGCATTTTTTCATGAACTTTTGAAGTCCCCTTAATATCTGTAGCTGAATGATGTAGTATATTAGGATTATGTTTCCTTTTCTGTATGTCTTTATTTTCCCCAAAGTTAATGATTCTTTTTTTTCACTCAATTATCAGTATCAAGAGATGATAAGCTATTACCCACAAGCCAAAATCTCGCTTACTGCCTGCTTTTGGAAATAAAGTTTTATAGTAACAAGCCATGTCCATTCACTTATAGATGGTTTATGAATTACAGTTCCACTACAGTAAAGTTGAACAGTTGCAACCAACAATTCCTTACCGCCTCCCAAAAAAAAGCCATTAGTATCTATTAGTAATTCACTCCTCACTCCCGTCTCACCCCACCCCAAAATGCCATTAGTATCTATTTGTAATTCACCCCTAGATGTTTATCAGATATATAAATCTTGTCATATCTTCAAGGACAGTTAGTGTGCTATAATTAATTTTATTAATTTTTTCTGTTAATTAATATCCCTTCTTGAGTCCTGCATTTTTCTGTTCCTATTTGGACTAGTTGTTCTGTATGACTGTTTTGCATCGGGGGAATTTCTTTTGTCTTTTTACCTGTGTTGGATTCCTGATTTCATGTTGTTATTACTATCTTCCTGGTTTGGTGGTGCTTTCCCACCAGTAGTTTCTTCAGAGAGAGTTGATTGGAAGAAGCTTTTTTGAGATCCTGAATGTCTGAATTTTCACCTTTTCAGTTGATTGATTTGATTATTATAGAATCTAATGTTGTAATCATTTTCTCTTAGATTTCTGGGCATAAAAATGCTGATTGTTTTTTTAAAATGCTGATTGTTCTGTAGATGCAAGCATCTTACGAAATTTCAGGTTTGACCAGGATGATTGGTGTGGGACCTGGTCATTTTTATTGGGTATCTGTCACGTAACTGTCACTAACTGTACCCTACTCCCATCCTTCAACAAGTACTTATACTCAAATTTAGTATGCTTTCCCAGAGAAATCTTTTGATTTTCTGAATGGAGGGCTTAAGGTTGGCTATTGATACTCACGGATACTTTTAGGGAAAAGGGAATTATAGAATAAGGAGTTTATATAGTATTTAGATTTTTACTTAACCCTACTTTTAAATATAGCACCTCTGTCCTATATCTCTATCTATATGCACATATATGTGTGTCTATAGATCGTGTTTATATGTATATAAGGGGGGAGGGCAGGAGTGAGAGGGAGAGATGTCTGGTATCCCTCAGTTTTCATCCCTCTGGTTCACCCAGTGAGAGAGTAGCCTTTCTACAAGATGAGGGGAGTAGATCCAAGAATTTAACTTACCTGTTTAAACTTTTATTCAGTTTTCAGTTCCACCAGTGCCTTCATTTTCTATACTTTTTGATTTACTGTGGTGTGGCTCCCTTTGTTATTTGGCTGCTTCTCCTTAGCTTTTATATATTGAGTCAGTTATTATTTTGCCTTTGCTGGCTAGCTCCCCCAATTTTTTAACTGCTGTTCATCTTCCCTGTGCCCTTTGCTGTCTGTATAGAGGGAATTTCATGAGGGAGTAGAGGTAACTGACTGTTTAATCAGCTATTCAAAGTATTGAAAGTCACATTATTTCTCTTTATGAAAGAAACACTCTTAATGGTATTGCTATTAACTGAAAACAGAATTTTTCATGTTGGAGATTTCCATGAACCCAACTGTTTGTTTAGCTGTGCAGAGTTGAACACTAGTGTTTTTCCATGGGGGTAGTTAAGAAGGGAGCTAAATTCAAATGTACTTTATTAGTGGAGTATTACCAGAAATTCTATACTTATTTTTAAAGCCAAGTTGTACAAAATTAACTTTATCCAGAGAAGATGAAAGGTGGCCTTCAAATCTTTTTGTACTCCCCACCAACTCCTAATCAGGAACTTCCCTGGCTCCTCTACTCCCTTTAGATATCAAGCAGTTGAGTAAAGACACCAAGCAGCTGAGTCTCTCATCTTTTAGTTATAGCTTGGGACCTCTTGTCCATTACATTTAATAGAATGATATATGGAAAATAGATGAGACTCGATTTTGTTTATGAGCTTATGACTTCTTAAAAAGCAGACACAGATGCAGTTTTATTGTTTACTGATAAACTTATTTATTTGTTAAAATGGCTTAAATATGGTTTTAAAGAATTTAACCCAGCACTATGAAAGGAAAAAAATTGTGCCGTGAAACTGGTTTGACCAGAAGAACAAATATTTCTTACTTTTTTTCTCCCTCTTTCTTTAAAAAAACAATTAGACCCACCCCCAATGAATATGCCATCTTCTAATAATTTGAACCCCATATAGTTTATTTTCTGGTTAGCAGTTTTCCGGGACTGAAAGAGAAGTGAAAAGAAAATGAATTTGGTTTAGAAGTGATACCAAACCAAAAAATTAGTTGCTGTCAAATCAATTCTGATTCATTGTGACACTGTATGACAAGTAGAACTGGCCTATAGTGTTTCCAAGGTTATAAATCTTTAGAAAAGCAGAGTTGCATTTTTTTCTGTGGAGCAGCTGATGGCTCAAATGATTGACCCCTGTTTAGCAGCTAAGTGCTTAGCCCATTGTGTTACTAGGGCTATTAGTGATTCTGCAGAGTTAAATAAAATTAAAAATACAATTCCTTAGTTGTATAGGATTACTTAGACTAAATCTTTTCTGTTTACAATTAAAATAAATAACTTTTGAAGCATCACTAAAGCTTGTTTTTTTTAAAAAAATTAACTACCTGAAAAATAGGCTGTGTATAGCTTTCACAAGTGTAGCTTTTACATTATCTTCCTGATCTATCAAAACAAGTATTGTGAAACTTAAGTCTCTACTGGAGATGTATTAGAAACAATGGTGTTGTTAAGCCTAAAGCACTCTCCTGCTAACCAAAGTTCGGGGATTGGGAAAAGATTATTTTGAATCTGATGGTCTAAGAAATCTTTTCAAGTTGTATGTTAAACTTTGTGTGCTCTATGTTCTTAAAAACCCTATACCTTATGTCAAGGTACCCACAACCTATCAAGTTAGGATTAGTTATTTCAAGTCTTCATACTCTTTTTTTTCCCCCCCTTCTCCAAGTTTATGTTGACCTATCCTTTATGTCTGTCATTCAGACTATTCTTCCTCGTATTTCTAGAATCGTGACAATGTCAGAGTACTGTGGCCCATGAAATTTTTCTCTGGTGCTTGAGTCACTGGGGTTTGTATGGTCAGTTTTCCATATTTTCAGGCTTTCTAGAAACGTTTATATGAAAAATAAAGTGCCAGGAAGCCCCTTTCTCTCCATTCCATCCGCCTTCACACCTCTCCCTCCCTCTTGAGTTTGGTTCTTCCTGTAAAAAAATGAACCCACTACCATCAAGTCAATTCCAACTCAGAGCGCCCAATATAGAGTTTCCAAAACTAAATCACTGGTGTAGACAGTCTCATCCAACTAACCTGGAGTTGCTTGTGGGCTTGAACCTCTGATCTTGCAGTTGGTAGAAAAGTAAAACCCCATAGGATTTCTGAGGTGTTAAACCTTTACAGAAGCGGATTACTTCACCCTTTTCTCCTGGAGCTGATGATGGATTTGAACCATCAATCTTAAGGAGCCTAATGTTTAACCTGCTGTGCCATTAGGGCTCCATTTTCAAGGGGTAAGAGATCATAAAAAGGGAGTAGTTAAAAACAGTAGTAAGGGAAAAAAGAGCACTTGCAGAGCTCTTGAAGTTAGTAAACCAGAATAATGTTGCTACTTCATAAGTATTTTTTACTGTGTAATATAAGAAATATGCCTGGACTTTAAAATACAGTTGTTGTTTTTTTAATTCACAGAAATGTGTTTAAGAATGTTTGATACTGAAATTACACTGGTAAATTAAGATTTTTTTAAAAAATTACTTAGAAGACTGCAGAAATACGGAAGAATGCAGTGGTTCTCAGACTTGTCTTCAAGTAGGGTTCACCTGGGAAGCTTCAGAAAATATTGGTGTCTGTGATTTCATTGTGTCTGGGGATCTGGCATAGCTTTGGAATTTTTAAAAGATCTCTAGGTGATTCAAATGTAAGAGGGGGTAATTTAGGAATTGGAATGGACTAGGATTTTAAGTCAACATTTCCTCTAGCTCTGGTTCTCAACCTTCCTAATGCCACAACCCTTTAATACAGTTCCTCATGTTGTGGTGATTCCCTAACCATAAAATTATTTTAGTTGCTACTTCATAACTGTCATTTTGTTATGCTAACAAAATTGGGCCACCCCTGTGAAAGGGTCGTTTTGACCCCTAAAGGGGTTGTGACCCACAGGTTGAGAAGCGCTTCTCTAGCTGGTTTTAAGATAAACCATTTAATTTTTGGTGCCTTTAATTCCTTACTAGGAAAATAAGATTTTATTTTTCAGTATCTACCTAACAAATGCTAAAAATATGTAAGATATAGTACTTTCTGATCAGCACATAAGGAGACCTTGTGGTGCACTGGTTAAAGTACCTGACTGCTAACAGAAAGTTCAGTGGTTTGAACCCACAAGCCTAGTAGGAGAAAAGGCCTGCTGGTCTGCTCCTGTAGAGAGTGCAGCCTAAGAAACCATATAGGGTAGTTCTCTGCCCTATCAGGTTGCTATGAGTTGGAATTGACTCATTGACAACTCAACAAAAATGCAGTTAATTGGAACAGCTGATTTTATTTATATGGGTGTCATCATTTTATTTTTTAGATATTTAAAATACATCATATTGTTTGGAATATTTTTTTCTTTAACAAAAGATGATCTATTTGGATTTCATCTGTAAAATTTCACCTCTTTGTTTTGTTTCTAATAGTATAAACTTCCTAGAGAAGGATATTCTCTGTATTACTTTATAGTAACATGCATTTGTTTTAACTGCACTTTTTTAAGTGTTGGATGCTAAAAATGCTTGATGAGGTGATGTTATAAATGATAATTTTTCCTTGAAAGAAAAGTCATTTTAAGTTAGTGTATCAGTATTACCTAACAATCATTTTGTTTTATAATATTTTCTGTCTGGAGGATTGACCGTAATTTGGAAATTTAGGAATTTTATACTCTATTGAGGATGCTTAATTTTTTCACCTACCGTATATATACTCATGTATAAGCCGAGTTTTTTGGCACAATTTTAAATGCCATTTTTGTGGTAAAATTAGGTGCCTTGGCTGATACTTGGGTCAGCTTATACTCGAGTATATATGGTGTATTATGAACAAACTTGGTTTATTTTAAGTAGCTTTATGTTGCCAGGAGATCAAACTATATTGGGAACATGTGCTAGTAGTATAGGAGGTGATGCTTTTCTTTGATCATAGGCAGCTGGAACTGAGCTGCTGGTAAGTAGGGCAGTGCAGATAAACAGCAGGAGCGTAGAGCATTGATCACATGCTTTGCACTTGGAATATTGGGTTTGTACAAAGACCTGTAGGAGACAAATTTATCACTTTACATCAAAAGGGCATGTTTTCTTTTTGATTTAAAAGTTGAAAAGATCTAATGTTCATTGGGCACATGGAAAGGCAATTTCAGAAGTTGAGAAGATGGCCTCCATGATTATTTTATATATACCAGATTTTAATTTTATTTCCCAAAGAATATTTAATGGAACTTAAAGTAGTTTTTTTAATATTTCCAAGATATAATAATCCCTTTAGGTAAAGAAGTTTTAGCCACATAATTTTCTGTCATACAAAAATCCAAATTTCGTATTTTTAATTCTGTATTCCGTATTTAACATTTTATATTTTGAATGCTGTGTTGTTTAAAGGAACATTACATATAAGGACATAAAATTTAGATCTAGCCTCTTTGTCTCTTAAAGAATATGAGACTTTTAGGTTGTTGCTTATACTTGCAAATGTTCTTGTGATTATTTGCAGTTCAGATTTTTTAATCTGCCATTCATAAATAAGCACACAGTATTCATAATAATTTTTATAGTGTACTTATTTGATCCCTAAAGTTAATCAGATTATAATTTCTCTACATTTCTTGTTTGAATCTCTTGTTTCCTTAATGTAAGTATTTTTAAATTAGCAGTTCCTATATAAATGTTCTGATTATTTTAAAGCTTACTGACAAACTTGTAAAGGAAATGTCTTATGGTATTGAAAAGTATTTATTCATTCTAGCTAGTGGAATATTAGTTTTTCATGTATTCTTTTTGTAGCTTTTTAGACTAAGCTTTTTAAAAAAATAAGTGGCTTAGAAAGAAAAATGATTTGAAAGTTGGTTTTTGCCTGTTGTGTATTAATATATATGATGGGCAGGTTGAGTATGTCCCTCCCAATAACTAAACATAAGTGGATTGTTAGATAAAAATACTATTTAGAGATTACTGTGATTTTATATGCCATATAACTCGACCTTCAAAATTATATAAGAAATATTTGGGGGAAAAAGAGAAATATTTGTCAGAAAAGAAGCCATTCTCAAGAGGAAGAAAAAAATATGACTACACAATTCATCCCAGATGCAGTAGTTTAAGAAAATAGTTATGTATATGTTTTAATATATCAGCTAAAATTTTTTTTCAAAGAAAAAGTATAGAACCATAAAAGTAAATTTTTAAAAATGCTAATGTTTTAACTGGTATCAAGGATCATGTTTGGTATTAACAAAATATATTAGAAGTTACTTTTGATTGAATCATTCCCTGAGGCTGTGGTACAGTGACAAGACTTGCTTTGTTGAGAAACAGTTTGTTCTTCCAATTCTGCACTTTCTAGGCAACCCATAATTTCTCTAACTTATAGAAAACTAGCACTTTTTTAAATCTTTAAATACTTAAACAACTATTAAAAAAACCTTAACTCCCTGCTCTGGAGTCATTGCTGACTCATAGATGACCCCTGTGGCTCTCTGAGACTGTGACTGTTGATGGGAGGAGAAAGCCCAGCCTTTCTGAAACCCTGAGCTGCAGCTGGTTTCAAACTGCCAGCCATTTGGATTGCAGCCCAACACGTAACCACTAGGCTAGCAGGGCCCCTTAAAACAAGTATAGCTATTGATAACTAACTTAGGTTTCCTGCATTTTGACTTGATCTGTTCCCTCAGCTCCTTAGTTAATTAGGTACATTTTCTGCCTTCCGTATTTCAGGCAATGGTTTTACAAAGTATTTCTTCACTTCATAGCATAGATCACGAGTTTTTCAACTTATTGTAAAAATTTTCTCACCATTTCCAGTGTCGTTGCCACCCACCAACAGGTCCCAAAACCAGTGCCACTTTTTAGGTTTTCGTTACTGCTATGTAACAACCCCCTTTCAAAACTTAGTTGGTTAACCTGGCAGTCATATATTTTCATCCATGTGTCTGTATGCCAGCTGGACTTTTGCCTGTCAATGTTATACTCTAAACTGTAGGTTGCATAGAGGTCTACTCCATATGTTTCTCATTCTCCTAAACCAATGGGTTATCCAAGACATGGTTTTACGGTGATGACAGAAGCATCAGAATTACATAAGCAAATTTCAGGCTTCTACTAGCCAAAGTAAGTTACAAAGCAAGCTGAAAGTCAAAAGTTGGAAGTAGGAAATGATAGCATATTGGTTAAAGGTAAGGATAGAGGGAAAGGAAAACTCAAATTTCTGACTTGTTCAACTACATAGACAAAGACTTGATAAGAAAGGGAGTATGCTTAGTTAGAAGTAAACAGTTCGAATCCCAACTTTATTCTGTGGTAATTAATATGTGTATCTCTATGTATGAAGAAACTAACTGTTCTAACTGCTAAAGGTAAACATTAAAGAAAGGAGATAAGCCCTTACTCCAATTGAGCTTTCCTTCTGGGTTAGGAAGAGTGTAAGAAATAAGTAAACTACATGTGTTAGAGGTGTTAACAACAACACAAATGTAAAGAGAAATTGGGGGAAGGAGCAGCTGCTTACTGAATTGTTGGTTGTTCAAACTATCAGCCTCCCCATGAGGGAAAAATGTAGCAGCCTGCTCCCATAAAGATTGTAGCCTTGGTAACCCTTTGGAGCAGTTTTCCTCTGGCATATAGGGTCGCTATGAGTTGGCACCCACTTGACAGCAATGGATTAATGGTCACATCTTAAAGAACTTCTTTAAGATGAATTTTTAAAACATAATGTGAAAAAATAAGAAATATAGATTATTTTTTTCTGAACAATCTCATTCCCTTCTAGACCACTTGACCTTTCTTCTTGGAGACTTTATTTTACTACCTTGCATACCTAGCCATACTTAAGCAATATAAGCTGCGCACTTTGGCACATACTCTTGAGTCTAAGATGCATCATTGCTTTAGTAAAACTGAGGGGTCAGTGAGTACATTTAATGTTTGATTGATTTGTAAGATGTAGCCCACAAAACAAAATGAGAAAGTATATCTTCATCTCATTTCTTATATATGCAGAAGGAAAATAATCAAAATGAAAAATTAAGACATTGTTCATTTTATTACACACATAACACATTTTTGCCCCCCCCCAAAAAAAACCCCACATTTTCCCTCCAAAAAATATCTTACTATTGGAGTAGCCTATCATTTTCACTAAATCCATTTGCTCAACTTTACTGATCTTTGATGTATTGTAATTGTATGTGTAGGTTTTCTCACTTGGTTAATTGGTTCTTTTATTTGAAGCTTTTTTATTATAAAAAGTGTTATGAAGAACATCTCTTACAGATAAATTCTTGTTCATATCCAAGATTTTTTTCTTTCAGATGAAGTACAAATGCTAATTAAAAAAATAAGTATATATTCTTGTGGTATCACTTTTTAATAAAGAAAAGCAAGTTTTAGCTTATTGTTTGGCCATTAATCATCTCTAAAATTCAACTTTTTCTTCCTTGTTAGTGAACACTTGTCCTGCTCTTTCACCTTTTTCTTGCATGGAGACAGCAATGTGTGTACCAGTGTGGAAATTAACCAACATCAACCTGTATACCTTCTTAGTGAAGAGCATATCGCCCTTGCTCAACAGTCTAGTAGCCCATTTCAAGGTAGATTATTTAATTAGTTAAGATATTTGATGGTTTTCTTGTGAGAAGATTCTTATTGGTCATTTTACATTTTGAGATTGCTGGGATTTCCCCCTAAATGTTTGGATGGAAATCATTGAACTGTTTACTTTCTTCTCCCCAACTGTAATACTAAGTTAGTGAAGTAAGTTTTTATATATAACTATTGTTTTAAAATTCTTTAACATAAATGGTATAATGTTTTAAAGAGTTGTTTTCAATAACGCCTATAGGTGAGTATACTTTCAAAGTTATATGTCAGGTTACAATGACATCTTTTATAAGATTGTTTTTGCTTTAAGTACTAGTAATGTTTTTTTATTGTAAGCTTGCTTTATGTGATAGTACATTGTAAGTACATAGACTTATATAGAGATAGATACATGTTTCTCCTATTGTTTTTCCTTAGCGAGGTGTCAAGAATTAAAGGTTAAACACATTTCTAGTTCATGTTAAAATTTTATCCATCTGAGATGATTGTGGGGTAGGAAAATTTGTAACGCTTTTTATAATTAGCAACTTTTGGACTTCATTGTCACAAAAACAAGTGCATTAAATTCTCTGTGATAATTATTAGTTACTATTTCTATTTTAAAGTTGCCTAATTACTTACCATACTGTTTAAACAGTCTTTCATTTCTTAACTGATGTCTGTTTTGGATTTTTAGTTATCTTAAGCCCATTTGGACTAAATGGCACTCTCACAGGACAGGCATTCAAGATGTCTGATTCAGCTACAAAAAAATTAATTGGTGAATGGAAACAGTTCTACCCTATCTCATCTTGCTTGAAGGAGATATCTGAAGAAAAACAGGAAGATATGGATTGGGAAGATGATTCTTTAGCTGCAGTAGAAGTTCTTGTTGGTAAGAATTCTGAGTATTAATCTTAAGAGAAATCATGTGACTATATTATGTATGGAATTCTTCAAGTACCTGAAAGTACAGTATTCCTATGAACCTTTTGTAAGCTGAAATGGTATAAAGCAAAGAAGCAATTACCATTAATAAATTTTGAGTATTGTTAGTCCCAAAAAGTAACCTATCAAATTATTCCAAGAAAACCACAGTTAAACCTAAAATAACATTAACATTCATTGTTAATAGCCACAGTTCTAGGCTGTGGTGGCTAGGTGGGCAGTGTAGTTCCTGAGGAGTTTTTTATCAACATGACTTTTGTTCCTCAGGATGCACACTTGCCTCTTTAATGACTTTCAGTAAATAAACAAATGGCTGTATGCTAGTTTCACTTTTTGCCTTTTTTGTGTAAAAACAAAAATCCTATTCAGATTTCTTTCCCTTAGTGAACTAAGTACTAATGTAGGTCTTCCATACAAAGTGGTGTACAGTGAGTTTTGTTTTTTTTTCAGTGAGCTCTTTTAAAAAGTAGAAGATAAGTTTTCTGAATAAGAAACATCTCCAATTCTATAGTGACTTTTAACATCAAGTGTTTATTATTTCCTGCTCACATTACATAAAGACTATAATTTAGCTGTGGTTTGGGTCCATGTGTATTCTTATTTTGCAATCTAGGTTAAGGAAGTACTCATTCTGGAACATGCTGTCTTTAAATATAACGATAGAGGAGTAAGGGGGACCAGCTCTCGCCATGCAAGTGCGTTTAAAGTATCTGCTGAGATGTGTTAATATAGCACATCTTCTTACATTCCATTAGACAAAATTGGTCTCATGACCAAACCCAGAGTCATCTGTGTGGGAAAATATACCACACCATGGTAAGGAAAGAAAGAGAATAGATGTGAATTAATAATATTTTGAGGCTGGAAACTTGACAACTTATATTTTAGGCACTGTTTTAATATTTGATAAAACTATTGGCCTCTGATAAGTTAAAAGGCAAAAAAATGTGCTGGAAGATCTTGTGACTTTGGTCTAATCTGCCTAGGCTACCTCTGTTTAGATCAGCTGTGTTCTATGTATCTTCCCTAGGTTAACGAGGTAACTCATATATAGGATTCTGATGTTAAAAGCAGAGAACAAGAAGTAAGAGAAGTTGTTGACCATGCCAGCACATTAAAGCTCCTGATTGGTGTAATATTTGTCACCTGCACGCACATTCCAGAGCATTTCACACTAGTAAGATGGACAGTAGGATGGTGGTGACATATATTCTACCTTAGACATGGCAGTCATGGGGAATGTATAATTGAGAAGATAATTGGTATTAAAGTCTACAACCATGTTTAATGGAATCTTAATAATGTTAAGTATGAAGATCATATCTCTTTATATTTTATGTAATTTTAGTTTTAATAAATCACAGTATCCAATTTTAGTTAATATATTACTACCAGGATAATTTTGGCAGAAAATAAAACATAAACATAAGAATTTTTAAATTGAGACATGAAGAAGGTAGAAAATGGATCATAATTCTAGTGCCTAGAATACCTTTGCTATAGTTTTAGAATAAAACTTTAAAACCATACACACTCATAGAAATCCAAAGTTGGAGAACTGCCTGTTTCTAAATCTTTCACCAATGTTAACCACAACTAATAATTTCTTGTGGATTCTTCAAGACAAACCTTATGCCAAAAGAACATGTATTTATATAAGTACAAATTTTTGATATGCAAATCTGATCATATTATATCTACTTTTTCATAACAGTACATTTCGAGTGAAACTCATTCCACTACAGTCACAACAGAAATTGACTTTCCTGTTTGTTCATTGGTTTTTATTTCAGCTGGTGTTCGAATGATCTATCCAGCTAGCTTTGTTCTAGTTCCTCAGTCAGACATTCCAACTCCCAGCTCTGTGGGATCCTCTCATTGTTCAGCTTCTTGCTTGGGTGCCCAGCAAGTGCCTGCTTCCACAAGAGATCCTGCTATGTCTTCGGTTACTCTTACACCACCTACATCACCTGAGGAAGTCCAAACAGGTATTAGGCTAATTTATTTCATCAGCTCTATATGGTAAAATTTTTATTTTGAGTACAACTATTTGAGACATAATTTGCTTTTGAAATAAGTTGTCTTATTTAAAAGTTTCTACAAAGAACTTCTAAGCTGTTACGATTTACTTCATCATCCCCGTCTTTATACATATATATTCATTATTGCTGGTCTTTTTCTGATCATCTGAGAACTAGTGCAGACACATGATGCCTCGTCACCTCTAAATATTTCAATATATTCTCAAAATAGGGACTTTGCTATATAACTACCATACAGTTATCTTAAATGAAGATCTAAACATTGATGGAATACTACCATCCAGTCTATATCCCCCATTCAAATTTTTGTTTTCTGTATTTAAAATAAAGGAACATGTTTTTTGCCTCAGATGTAGATAAGCTTTATCAGCTATCTGGAGCATTTTATTTCACAAATTAATTTTTTAAACCAAGTAAATATACTTTAAACCTACTTTTATTCTCCTACAGACACTTTTTATTGTTTGCATTTTCAGTTGATGCTCAATCTGCTCAGAAGTGGGTTAAATTTTCTTCAGTATCTGATGGCTTCAACTCTGATAGTACTAGCCACCATGGTGGAAAAATACCTACAAAATTAGCAAATCATGTGGTGGATAGAGTTTGGCAAGAATGCAATCTGAACAGAGCACAGAACAAGTATGTATTTTCATTCTCAAGTTGAAAAATCACATATTAATAGTTTCTTGTAATTAGTGGGTATTTAAAAAATAAATTGATTTGTATGACTTATTCAAGAAATAGACTTTTCAAATTTAATATTAGTGCTTAATTCAGATTTAACAATAGTTTATGAATTCTAAAGAATCTCATCATTTCAAATTTTAGGAGGAAGTATTCAGCTTCATCTGGTGGTCTGTGTGAAGAAGAGACAGGCAATAAAGTAGCATCCTGGGATTTTGTTGAAGCTACACAAAGAACAAGTTGCAGCTGTTCAAGGTACATTTTCTCAATTGATTTTATGTCTGCACATTTGTATGTGTGTAGTTTTATGAACTAATATTAAACCTCCACTATGTTTATATTAGCTTAAATAAACACGTGAGGATTTTTTTCAAAATAGAAAACTTGATAATTTGATAATTTGAAGGTAAATGTAGAAATACACACAAGTTCATGCAACTGTCACTCCTCAGGAGCCCTGGTAGTGCTGTCGGGTAAGCATTGGACAGCTAACTTTTGTTAGCAGTTCAAACCCACTGTGCAGTCTGTGAGAGAAAGGTAGGATTATCTGCTCTGGAAAAGATGGCCTTGGAAACCCTATATAGGGTCGCTATGAGTTGGAATCAACTATTCATGGCAATGGTTTTCTCTCTCCCCATACCCTGCTCATTCTTCCTAGAAGTGACTATTAACCAATTAGGTGTTCTTTTTTTCACACTTTATTTTTCTCTGTGGTTTTGTGTGTTTGTATTTCCTCCCAATACATGAATGATTTGCTTATTTGACAGCCTATTTTTTCCACTTTGTCTGCCAAGTTCTTTCTATATAAATTACGTACAGATTTCATTGTTTTTAAAGATTTTTATATTCCACTGAATGACAGTACCATAGTTTATTTAGTCATTCTGGGTTTGATAGTTGTTTCCAAAAGATTTTGGTTTTGCTTTTCAAAGATAATATTGCTGTAATTATCAATTTTTAAGTACTTTTTAAATACTTTGTTGCAGATGTACTAGACTCAAGATATATTTGTGATCAAGAAATCTTGCTATTTATTAAGCTTTCATTCTAGTGAGCTTGAGGCAGGTAATAATTTTTCTTTAAAAAGTGTAACTTAGGAATTAATAAATAGTAGGGGGAAAAAATAAGTGAAGGATATGCCAGAGAGCAAAGGGGAAGAGGGCCATTTAAATCTTTAAAAAAAATTGATTCTACCAATTTTATTCCTACTGTTACCTTTTGCATATAAGAGTGCCAGTTTCTCTTTACTTTGTTGGTAATTTTAACTTCTTGTGTTTTCACTAATATAACTGACATTGTATGTGTGCATAAAAGTATAAAATTGTTTTACTCTACAAGTTTTCAGTTATTAATGATATTGAATATTGCACACTTAAGTTTGTGGTGAAATATTCATAAGGAAATTAACACTTAGGAAGCTACATAAATAAAAAGAATTGCAATCAGTTCTGAATGTTGACACTAAGATAGGAACTTAATATCCATAGGGGAAAAATCTGAAGAGATCTCTCTGTTAAACTATGCTTTAAGGACAATTCTAGAAAGATTCCCCAAGTTGGTTGAGGTCAATTGGAATTCAGGTTCTTTAGGGTCCAAATTCATCCTTTCTTTAAAGTAACCTAACCTTAGAAGATCAATAGAGAAAAGAGGGCCATTGGTTTAAAATTATCAAAAATTTTAAGATCCACTGCTAGTAGTTCAGAAAGTTCATGAAAAATGGAATTAAAAGATGGAATCTTTTTGTGCACTTCTTAAGGCCCCCTTATATCTAATGGAATACTTTTTTCTCTTTACATTTATGGCTGGGTTAGTTGGATGCATGACCATTCTACACATCTCATATACTTTGAATATAACCAAATACTTCAGCTCAGATAAACAGATATATCCTTTTTTATTTATTTATTTATTTATTTTCAGATATATCCTTTTTTAATTACTTACATATCAACCAAACCTACTGCTCTTGAATCAATTTCAACTTCTAGAAGCCTGTAGGGTAGAGTAGAAATCCCTGTAGGATTTCCAAGACTGTTTTTCGGGAAGCGGACTACCACATCTTGCTACTGCAGGTTGGTGGAAGGGTTGAATGGCTAGCCCTGCCACCGGGGTGTCTGGTTCGCATATTTGTCGCTCAGTTTTCCAACATACTGCTCTCTCAGAGCTCATTTTCACTTTTAAAAACAAATCAGTCCCCCAAAGGGCATTCAATCTATTGTAGTATCTTGTTTTGGCTGAAGTACATAAAGAAAATAGAGCCTTGCATGGTTTGCGTAATCAGAAAATGAAATAAAGCATTTTAAATTTAGCAGTTTGCCCACACATTATGGGTATTTTACATGCTACACCAAAATTAGGAAGCAGTAGTTTCATAAAGGTTAGTTACAGTTGGAATTTGAAACTATGTTAACAAAATTTTTGTATTCTGTTATTGGCATTTTACTTATACATGACTTATAAAGTAACAGTGCACTGAGTTATATGGATCTTTTAATGTTGCTACACTTACGTACAAGGGGGCTTCAAAAAGTTCATGAAAATGTAATTAAAGGATAATGGAAAATTTCCACAAACTTTTTAAACCCCTCAGGTTATCAAAAATAGCTTTCTTTAATATCACTAACAGTCTTATCAGAAAAGTCTGTTAAACATTGGAAAGTTAAGCTAATACCAACAGGCACGATTCACTAAAATTTTCCTTTTTTTCTTTTTTGAGAACCAAATAACCGGTTCTCCTAAATAACCAATCTAACAATGGTTTATTTTGAGTCAGTGGTAGAATTCTTGCCTATCATGTGGGAAACCTGGGTTCAATTTTTAGTCAGTGTACTTCATGTGTAGCCATCATCCATCAGTTAGTGGAGGCTTGTGTGTTGCTTTGATGATGAACACATCAGGTTTTGGCAGAGCTTCCAGAATGAGATTGACTAGGAATAAAACCTTGGTGATCTACTTCTGAAAATCAACCAGTGAAAGCCTTGTGGATCGCCATGATAAGATTGTAAGCCAATCATGGAATAGCACAGGACTGGGCAGTATGTCCCATTCACATAGGGTTACTTTGCTGACTTGATGGCAGCTAAGAGCAACAACAACAAATGATGGTTTGTCAGCCTTTTTTTTTCTCCCCCAAATAGAAATGATGTTCTATGTCACTTTGTATTATATTAGAAGGGACAAAGTGTCTGGTTGCCCCAGTTCGAATGTTAAGATTAAGGTGGTGATCATCCTGATTCTTCCATTGTAGAGTTTCTACTCACGTTGACTGGGTATAAAGATAGTATTTCTTCTTTGAAATATCTATACTTTTTCTTTTGCTTCCTATTGCAGTGGCTAAAAGTTTCAATAAATGGTTGAATAGAAGGACTGAGAGTTAATTTCTTATCTTGGTCTTTGTTGCTACTTTTGACTTAACAACCACATATGACAGAGTAAAACTGCCCCAGAGGATTTACTTGACTGAAATCTTTACAGAACGAAATCTCTAGGCACCCCTTGGTGGTTTGGAGCCTGCAACCATTAGGTTAGTAGCTGGATGCTTAACCATTTGCACCACCAAAGATCCTTAGTTAACATTGTTTTTTCATAGATGTCCTTTATGAGATTGAACAAGTTATCTTTGTTTTGGTTTAAAATCAGAAAAGATGGATGTGTGTTGGAAGCTACAGCAATAGACTCAAACCGAGATTTTTCTGTGTGTAATTTTTATTGTAGTTAAGGTATACATAATAAAATCTGTCATTATAACAATATTTTCTTGTACAATCAAGTGACATTGATTGCGTTCTTCAAATTGTACAATCGTTGTCACTGTCCTTTTCCAAACCATTCGACTGTCATTAAAATAAACTCAATCCCCTTCCAAGCAAAAGTTCGCCCTTCCCCCTTTTCCTGTGAGGAAATGGTGTTGGGTCCATGTTTGACCTCTGGCTTTATTAATTGGAAGGAGAATCCAGCTCTACATCTCCCCAAAGATGATTCTTATGAGACAAAATGTCAGACTTGCATCCACTCTCCCTTCTTGACTCTATTCTGACATCATCTGTCCTTCCCACAGCACCCTACTCTGCTGAGTCCAATAGTCTGTTGCAGTGGCCACACATTCAATACTCATGATCAGAGGAGTTTATTAGGGAAGTTAATAGATTACCACAAATCAGGATCAGAAAACATTAAGTCCAGTGTGCCTCTTAGCCATGCCAGCAGTCATGTCTCTCTTTAGTTGTAGAGATTTTGCGAATGGTGCAAGACTAGGCAGTATTTCATTCTGTTGTACTTAGGGGTACTATGACTTGAAACCAACACTACAGTACCTAACAATATTAGTACCTAATATTCCTCTTTTACTAAGTGTTTTTATAGATAGTGAATTTTGTCACGTGTTTTCGGTACTTATTTAGTTATATGATTTCTTCTTTATTCTGTTGATGTAAATAATACTTTTGAATGGTATGCTGTGCATATCTGTGTCCTTGAGGGATATTGGTCTGTACTTTGCTCTTCTGAAAATGTCTTTGATTTTGGTATTGACTTTCTCCTGTGTTCTTTTGACTTGGCTCATTTATACTTGATGTTTTTCATGCATTCAAGTGCAATAAGATGTCTCAGAATCCACCATATTTCCTCAACAGAGTTCTTTTAAAAAGTGCCTGTCACTGCCCTTTTTTGGGTAGCTCTGATTTAACAAAATTTAAATATAAAATTAGGGGGAAAAAACAGTAAAAAAAAATGCTTGACTGCCATTTTTCACTACCCTATCTTTCTAAATTTTAACTTTTAAATGTATGCTTTACATTATTATCAATGAGTTTAAACATTTCAAAGAGTACAGTGTTTTTTGCTATACCAGAGAATTTGGACAACATTATTAGATATAATTTATTGAAGTTCTTCAGTTTGGAATTGCTTCTTATTGTGGAAAAATAAATCCAGATATTTTCTTTTCCTCTCAGCTTGTTCTTTGTATATTGCTAATAACTATTGGGAGATAGGATAGGATTCCATAGCCAGTCAGTCAACCTCATCATTTTTCAAACTTGATCTAACTTTATTCCAGTAGAGTAAAAGAAGTTTTCTAGCCAGTTGGTGATGACTAAACTTAGTAATGCCATTGATTGATAATAGAATGAATAGGTATTAAACATCTTTATACTTTTTATTTTGAAATGATTGGCATCTTTGAAAATATTTATTCCATTGCCAATATAACATGGGTAAGTCAGAAAGTATTTTTACTAGGATCCCAATTCATACATGCATGAGTTTATTTTTTTAATTGTTTAAAAACATCTCTGTAATCATTGGGTAGCTGGAGACAAATTCTCTCGGTTATATACTTGTCTTAGTCTCATTAGAGTGAACACCTTCTCAAAATAAGGCCAATTGAAGCAATGATTTCTGTGGGAATCTACTGGGTCAGTAAATTTCAAGGCAGAAAAGTCAGCTGAGAAATTCTTGATGTCTCTGTATTTTTTTAATTCCCAAAGGGGATAATAGACTTTTTTAAGGACACAGGACAATCAAGAAGGCTTAATAGGAAGAAGTTTTTTTTTAAAAATTGAAGGCTATATTGTTGAGAAGAAGGCTGATTAATATTTTCCCTTTATAATAGTGCATCTGTTCTTTCTTTGAGGGTACTAAGGGCTGTCTGTGAAAATTTCTTTGGGAAACCTTAACCCAGCCATTCTACAACCCTGATTATGCCCCCCTCAAACATTTTTGTTCCCAAAGTAGAAAGACCATGTAAAAGAAATACAATTTGAGGCCCTTGAGGATACAACAGCCATTTTTGACATGGCATAAATGGAAGAGTGTATAATTCTTCTGGTAACTGTTGACACATAGCGACCCTGTGCACAACAGAATGAAACACTGCACAGTCCTGTGCCATCCTCACAATTGTTCTATGTGATCTCATTGTGGCAGCCACTGTGTCAATCCATTTCATTGAGGGCCTTCCTCTTTTTTGCTACCCCCTCTACTTTACCAAACATGTGTCCTCCTCCAGGGACTGGTCTCTCCTGACACCATGTACAAAGTAAGTATGATGAAGGCTCTCAGTGGAGACAAACCCCATAAAAAGTGTGTAGACTTGTGAGCAGGAAACAGTAGTCTTTTATGGAAAATTTCTGCATGTTTTTATTTGTAAAGTCACTGCACAGAGTATTTTTCTCCCATGTAAATTCGAATCATTTTACTTTTAGGATGAAGCATGAAAAATGAGTTCCGAAAATGTTTAATAGTGTTAACTCTATGCTATAGGTCTCTGTTTTAAATCTGAAACCTTTCTTTAACTTTTTCAGGCACAAAAGTCTCAAATCAAGAAATCCTGGACAGCAAGGACCAGCATCATTGTTAGGTCAGCAACAGCAAGTACTTCCTAAGCACAAGACTAATGAGAAGCAAGAAAAGAGTGAAAAACCACAGAAACGCCCCTTGACTCCCTTTCACCATCGTGTATCTATTAGTGATGATGTTGGCATGGACACAGATTCAGCTAGTCAAAGACTTGTAATCTCTGCTCCTGACAGTCAAGTGAGATTTTCAAATATCAGAACTAATGATGTAGCAAAGACTCCTCAGATGCATGGCACTGAAATAGCAAATTCACCTCAACCACCCCCACTTAGTCCTCATCCGTGTGATGTAGTTGATGAGGGAGTAACTAAAACACCTTCAACTCCTCAGAGTCAACATTTTTATCAAATGCCAACGCCAGATCCTTTGGTTCCTTCTAAACCAGTAGAAGATAGGATGGACAGTTTATCTCAGTCTTTCCCAACTCAATTCCAGGAAGCTGTAGAACCTACAGTATATGTTGGTACAGCAGTAAACTTGGAAGAAGATGAAGCTAATGTAGCCTGGAAGTATTACAAGGTCCCAAAGAAAAAAGATGTGGAGTTTTTACCACCTCAGCTTCCAAGTGATAAATTCAAGGATGATCCAGTTGGACCTTTTGGACAGGAAAGTGTAACATCAGTTACAGAGTATGTATTTTTTAATGGTCACTATTATGATTTAAGGGTAGAAATAATGTTAGCTTATTCCTATAATTCCAGAATTGGTTTCAAGGTAGAATTTTCCATAATAAATGGTTTGAGTACTAATTTTGTAAAATTTTTTCACTGTCATTTCCTCAGGGACTCTTTGTATAATGAAATATTTTAGCTGCAAAGTGGAGAAAATAATACATAAATATTTGTCATCAAACTTTGGATTCATTTAGAATACCTGTATACTATTTTTCTTGCTTTCACTGTCCTAAATTTAGTGTTTATCATTCCTATACATGCTTTTATATATGTAGTACCAGTTAATTAATTTTAATTACATTTATAGTATGAATTTGTTTGTGAGTATACAATAATTCTTTGAAAACAATGGGCATGTTGGTTGTTTTCGGTACAATTTCTCATAGTTGCAAGTGCTGGAACAGGGAGCTTTTTTTGTATAGCTATCTTTGCACTTGTATTTACTAGAGAAATTGTCATATATCTAACAGTGGAATTGCTGGACCATGAGTATGTCTATTTTCAAAATTAAAGGATGTTTTTAAGTTGTTCTTTATACCAGTTTATGCTCTTACCAAACAGCAGAGTGTGAAAATGGCTCCTGTAGTTTTCTCAATATTTCGTGTTATGAGACTTTTAAATTTGGCTAATCTGAATGCAGAACAAGATCATTGTTTTAATGGTGTTTTCCAGAATCCTAGTGAAGTTAAGCTTTTGAAAAACCTTATTATACAGTTTTCTGTGAATTATCCGTTTATTTTTCTGATTTATTCTTTGTGTATGCTAGATACTAATGCTTCATTAGTTATGGTTATATGTGCTACAGATACCTTCATGCTGTTACTTGATTTTCTCGAACATTTCATTTATGGAATATTTAGTAGGTTAAATGCTGGTCTACCAACCACAAAGTCAGCAATTTGAAAGCGCCAGCTTCTCGAGAAGAAAGATGAGGCTTTGACTCTAATAAAAGAGTTCGTCTTGGAAACCACCAGTCCTGTAGGGTTGCTATGAGCCAGAATTAACTCAGTGGTAGTGAGTTTGTTTTGTTTTTTGGTTTTGAGTAAAAGTTTTTTTTCTGAGTCTCCCTTTACTCTTATTTTGTTCTGCCTATGTTGTCTGTCCATATTATGTGTCTTTTGTGTTTTTTTATGTTGGTTTTTTGAAAAGATTAAAATTAACTAACAAAACACCATTATATCCCCTAGAATAATACACCGCCATTAGTATGCAACGATTAAGTTTACTCTCTGTCACTTGTCAGTGGGTTCAGAATGGCCTAAATATCTAAATGATGCCTTAGACTTTGTTTTTGCTTAAAATGTCACACTTTCCTATTTATATATGTGTTTTGTTATAGCGATAGCTTCTAACTCATTTAACTCTTATGTGGAATTCATTACTTTCTTCTTCAGGCCTTTTTACTGTGGGCCATGTGCTTTCTAAACTTAATTTTCCAACTGTTTTACTAGGGTTTTATTTTAATAGATTCATAAGTGAATTTAACATTTCTTATGACTTAAGATTTTCTTTTTTATTTTGCACCCTTCGTGTTGGAGCACATGTTTAATTCAGAAAGCATGCATGGGAGACAAACTCGATATCTTTGAATGTTTGAAAATTATTTTTTGCCCTTATACTTGGATTGATAACATAGATTGTATTGACCTCATGGTTGAAAACAATTTTTCCTCAGAATTACTTACTGTCTTCTAGTATCCAGAGCTGTCCAGTACTGCAGATGAAATATGTAACACCAGTCTCATTGTCTCATTCTTCCTGTGGTCTTGTGCCCCCATGAGACTTTTAGGGTTTTCTCCTTAGCCTTAGATTTATGGAATTTCACAAGAAAAAAATAATACAAAGATTTTTGAGGGAGAGGTGGAATGGGCTATTGTATTGGACACCTGAAGGTCTTATTCAATGTGAAGTCTTTTCTGTCTTATCCCTTTCCTGAGTAACGTCATCTTCATTTTTTTTAATTCTCTTTAGACCCTCACTGATACATATGTTGAGCTATGAGTGTTTCTTTTTCTCTTTCTTTGAGGGGATTATTCAGTTTTCTTAAATTCTTAATCTGTTGTTTTTTTCTATAATTTCCAACCTATTCAATAGTGTCCCCCTTTGGAAAGTTTTGTGAGTTGTTTTTTTTCTCCTCTATAATTACTTTATTTTTATTTTTCTCTTTACTATGCTACTTTTACATCAGATTTATGGTAATTCTTTCTATGCATTTATACTCAAGGAATAGGCAGGCTGATTGGAAATTTTATGTATGTAGATAGAGCATCAGAGCTTGTTGATTGGTTGACCTACTCAATAAATAGTTTAGTATATACTATATATCAATGCTAATTCACTTTATTAAGCAAGGAATTTAAGAAAGGGGGTGGGGGAAGATGTGATAGGTGCCATATTTTTGTTTTCACTAGGTATATTCTTTTTTTTTTTTTTTTAAGAACTTCCTATTTTCTGACCTTGTTCTTTCTGTTCAGAAGTTTAAGTCCAGATTGTCTCTGTTTTTTCATGCTGTTTGGTTCTTTTTTTGTTTCTAGTTGATGTACAACCCCCTTGTGCATATTTTGTGTATTGTTGATTGCAGACTGCTGAGTTTCATCTCATCTTGAGCTTCCTTGAGATTTGAAATATGAGGGGCTTAAAGAGGTTCATAGAAAAGTAGAATTAGTCCCAACCTGAATTTGTTCTAGATGCAAGTATTTCTTGCTTGTTCTGTGACAAAATTTTATTCCTGGGCTTTAGAGTGACAGTCTCTGAAACCCGCATGGAGCAGTTCTACCCTGCCCTATAGGGTCCCTAATATCCAGACTCGGCACAATGGCAGTGACTTGACTTCTCAAAGTTTGACAATGTATATATGTATTTATTCATATTTATGCACAAATATATTTACTGTATGCTTTCTCCATTTCCCATAGTACATTACACTAACTACTGTTTTAGAATGTATGGAATAATATAATAATAAAGTTAAAAATCTTGGAGGAAAAAATAGAATTAAAAACAGTGGATTTTTTTCCATGAACTTTTAAAAGCTTCCTCTTACTGGTCCGTTTTTAGGCTCTCTCTCATTTTTCTTTTTTCTTTTTGAGTTATGCTTTCATTGTTATTTGAAGTCTCATCTGCCAACTTGGCGTTTTCTACTGACCCAGGGAGCAGAAACCTTCCCAGGCTTCACAATCTCCTGCTCGGGAGCTGCCTCTGTGGGAGTCTTAGTAGCAGCCATTGCTGTCTTTTTAGATGCTTGCTTTGCCTTTTTTGCTTCCTTGGCAGCCCTGATAGCCTGTTCTTGTTGTGCCTTTTAACTTCAGGTTTCTGTTTCCTCTTGGCCAGTATATCAACAATAGATGCACCAGTGTTGGCCCTCTGGAATGTGACTGCATGGCGGGTTCTCTTCCGATGGCTCCTTTTTGTGCAAAACAGTCCAGTTTATCTGCTGAGGGTTCCTCTTGAAAAGGAAAGCTGATTTCACATTAAATTGGAAAACCTTTACATCTGTCCTGGCGTAGCGCTTCCGGTGTCTGGGGTAAATCTTGTACTCACGGAAATCACAGCTCAGCCTTCATGGCTGCAACAGGAAAGGACTCTCATTTTTCTTTCCTGTTAAGAGATTTTTTAAAAATTCCTTTTTATCATTGCATTACATGTGCTTCATCTAACACCATACATCTAAAAGTATAGTTTGTGTTTTATTAAAATCAGTCTGGATTTGAAATTAGATTTCAAGAGACTCTTATTATGAAAGGTGATTAATAATCAGTGGGTTTCTTGCCAGCAAATACTATCATGAAAACAGATTTTGAAAGATGTTAATCTTGTCAGTACTGAATATAGAGCCCTAGTGAGCACCTTCAGATAAACATTGGCCTGCTAACCACAGGGTCTGCAGTTACAATTCTCCAGCTGTGATTGGGAGAAAGATGAGTCTATCTGCTCCTATAAAGGTTTACAGCCTTGTAACCCTAGAGGGTTGTGAGAATCAACTTTTGTTGGCAGTGTCTTTTTTTTTGGTGCTGAATATCTTATAAAGTCTAAACCAGCTTCAGGTTTGCTTGAAATTACTGTTGATTTCTTTGATGCTCTTCACTGCAGTCAGACTCATAACAGTGTCTGCTAAATGATGTTACTCATTGGTGTAGATCGTACAATAGTTTCGTCTTACATGTAGAATAAAGTTAAAATCCCTTGCCCTGATCTGTAAGATTACCAGTCTCCTGCTTACTGGACTCTCCACTTGTAAATATTACTTTCCTGTTGGCTTCCTAAATAGCTACATCAGCTTTCTTTCATAGCTTGAAAAAAGTAAATTCATGTATTGTAGATATTAGAATTGTATTACAGAGAAGGAGGAATAGCTTTATCATTCAGTCCTCCTCAAAAGTTAGCTTCTTAGTGAGGATTTTCCTGTCATCAACTATTTCTTGTTTCACTTCCAAATCGCTCACCACTTTTTCCATATACTGCTTTTATTTTTTCCCTAGCATATGTCATTTTCTGAAAATATACTATATATATGTCTATAGTCTTTTTCCTATTAAAAGGTAAGTGCAATGAGGGCGAGGACTCTCTCATCTACGGCTGTATTCCTCCAAGACTCACACCTACATACTCAGATTTCTAATAGTGTCAAACACATAATAGACATTCAGCAAATGTTTGGATCAGTGAACGGTAGTATGAGCCCAGATTACTTTGATTTTATTACTTGTTCTTTCCCAGTTATCTTATTTAATGTATTTAAAAATGTGATACAACTCTTTGCTTTTTAAGAACTTCAAAAGTAAGTTTTTAAGGGAACATCACACAGTCATAAGATCCAGAAATTCTAGCCATTGTTTTGTGCGTGTGTATGTGTGTTTTGTGTACACACTGTAAGTGAAACCGTTTTCTAGAAAGTTAGTGCTATTTAACCTTAGAACAGCAGTTCTCAACCTGTCGGTTGTGACCCCTTTGGGGAT